CTCTTACTTCACAGAAGTCAATCACTTGTTCAAAGATCTTTATAAAAACTTTTGTAACAATTGACCCCTGTGATATCTTATACAAGTTAAGATTGTGATGACTATCTGAGAGTTGCAGTAACTGACTAAAAACAAAGCCTTTCCAGTGGTCTTTATTGTCCCCCACAGATTCATGAGGATTACTGCACAGTCCCAGGACTGAGTATTGGCTGATGTACCAGCCAATTTTTTCAGTCCTGTGAGGGTCCATTCCTGAGGACTGAAGACAGTCCTGAGGATTTTCAGACAGGACTAGTCCCAGGCTTGATGCATGTGATGAGTCACATGACTCATGGACATGTGCTTGGATGCATCCTGTGCATATGTGACATATCACATCACCTTTCTCTCTCAACCATCACCACCAGCAACTATGACAACAACATAATAGGGGCTGTCATGGATACACCTGGGTATTAACCATACCCGATCCATGGATTTTCCCACCCTTGGGTCAGATAAGGCACAGTATGGATATATCCATGGGTAAAATGGCCTGAGTGGCTGAGAACATAGCTTCAGTTATATAAATGAGTGTATCTCATTCATTTCTCATCCATTCTTTACAAAAAAAATTGTGTTATGAAGCGAAAATTCAGAAAAATTCATATTCAAACAAAATTTATTCATATATTATCCAAGGGGGTGGCAGAATGTGGATCCCAGATATAGGGTTGCAGGGGGAGCATCCATCAGAGGCCTTAAATTTTTTTGTGACCTTCTCTAATGAAGTCCATTCAAATGGTCTACAACCCTACCAGAGCACCCTTTGAGCTTAATTTGGTAAGTTGCACACATATTCAGTCAGTAAATTTTGACACCTTGCATATGTCCTGATGTGTGTGGCATACACAGACATTTCCTGGGTGTGACACCCTGGAGTCGACGTTGGGTGCATAGGTGGTTGGCATGGCGCCAGTGCTGGCCAGGTCAGTTGATGACTTCAATAAGCGTGGAGAACCATGGAAGGTTGTCGCTGTCATTGGTAAACAATGTTCGGAGGTGATGGCTGCCAATAACCGATGGTTCCTTCTAAGAAAAACATAGGATGGTGGGAAGAACATACTGGATTTGGGGTGGTGAGGGGAGGGGGTTGAGCACTACAGCCTTAATTCTTCTTGCAACTGTATATGTAAATTCCATGTTCCACCACCCCCTTGATATTATCTAAATCGAGTACATTAAAACTAAAGTTATTACGAGTCCTCTGAGTTTACGAAGAGACTCGTTTATTACCCAGGATCTCAGGACTTTTTTCAGCGCGGTAACGCTGAAATTTGACTTTCTGCCACAAAAGTGATTTCTTCCCACGATCAGCTGCCTGCTCAACATTGACGACTTTGCCAGTCTGCTCTACTATTTCTTAGTTATCACCTGCTTTTAGTCCTATCCATGTTGTCATTGATGTAGGTGGTAGCTAATGTATTGCTCTACTTGGCTGTCAGACTCTAATATATGAATATATTGCCTCCATTTTCACATTTATGTAACTATACTTCTTTACATTAAAGATATAACAATTAAGGTCATGACAACTTTTGTGGCATATTTTTACGGAGTGTGTGGGTATCCTAATGAGCCCAAGGCTATGCAAAATGAGCCATGAGAAGGTCCTGGGCAGTTGGTGGGTATGAGCGCAAAAAGACAAAAATAGAACGTAACATACATCCAAGAGTGCTCAACTAGTTCATAGGCAGTTTTGGGGAGTCTCTTCAGGGGGTGTGGGGGTATCCAAACGAGCCCTCAACCACAGAAAACGAAGCAGATTGAGGTCCTGGGGAGTTGTGAGCATAAGGGCAAAAGAACGAAAATGCAAACTCACCTAGCTCCATGAGACCTTGACCGTTTCGTAAATGGTTTTGGGGAGCGTCTTCACGGAGCGTGGGGGTATCCGAACGATCCCTCGACCACAGAAAACGAAGCAGATTGAGGTCCTGGGGAGTTGTGAGCATAAGGGCAAAAGAACGAAAATGCAAACTCACCTAGCTCCATGAGACCTTGACCGTTTCGTAAACGGTTTTGGGGAGCGTCTTCACGGAGCGTGGGGGTATCCGAACGAGTTCAAGATCATGAAAATCGAAGGGGTATTGACAGAGAACTTTCATTGTGTTTGGACTAGCCAAGACAGCAATGTACCATTCCACCAATAAACTGAATTACACACAGCCACATGAGCAGGTTAGAAAAATGATGACGCACGAACATTTCCCGATCATTTGATGGGGGAAAGTTTCGTGCGTCATAGGAATCTGTGATGTGTCAAAAGCACATATATCAGTCACTGTGTCACGTACCAAACATAGTAGCCGGACATGACAATGACTCGTAATGAACGGGCCAGCCGGTCCCGGCCGGACTTTCCAAAACATCCCTTTACCAACGGACCAGCCGGATGCATACAAATGGCTTGCAGGCACGGCGTCTCTTGCCGCGGCAGCTACCTACGGCAGCCTTCTGGGTGTCCTGTCGGCATCACACCATAGTTCCCCAATCTTTACTAGAACAACTGTAATACTGTTACCTGCTTTGATGTTGTACTGTTTGCTTCTATCAGTAGTAGCTAATTGTAAACCTCCACCCTAAGCTACTTGCTCTACCACACAGCTGCTGGTCAGCAAAGCATGCTGTATATACCCCAACCTGCTCCAATGGTAAATTACCTGTGTCCATAATATTAATCAATGACATCTATTGAAATTGAATATGTCAACTCTGGTTAAGCATTTGATTGACTCCAATGGGGCGGTTATTTCAACTCCCATGGGGCATTTGATTCACTCTGGCAGAGAATTTACAGCTGAGTATGTCAACCACCATGGGCATTTAAATTTGACTATTTTGACTCCATGAAGAATTTGATTGACTTGAGGGGTTATTATGTTTAATTGTAAATGCATTGCCAGAGTTGACATACTCAATTTCAAATGCCCTGGAGGAGTGAACCCAATGCCCCATGGGAGTCAACATATTTGATTTAAAATACCCTGTCAGAGTAAATAAAATGCCCTGGAGGAGTAAACTACATGCGCCGCGGGGGTCAACATATTTGACTCTAAATTTCATGACAGAGTGAATAAAATGCCCTGTCGGAGTGCCCTGTGAGAGAACATATTTAATTTTATATGCCCTGACAGCATGAATAAAATGCCCTGTCGGAGTGAATTAAATGGCCGCAGGGTCAACATATTTGATTTTAAATTCGCCGACGGGGTCAATAAAATTCCCCATCGGAGTGAATAAACTGCCCCGCGGGAGTTAACATATTTAATTTTAAAAGCCCCGACGGCGTAAATAAAATGCTCCGTCGGGGTGAATTAAATCGCCGCGGGGTCAAAATATTTGATTTTAAATTCGCCGATGGGGTCAATAAAATGCTCCGTCGGAGTGAATAAACTGCCCTGCAGAAGTTAACATATTTAATTTTAAATGCCTCAATGGAGTGAATTAAATACCCCATGAAAGTCAATCAACTGTCTCCCACCCAATTCAAATTTTATATTCCCCATCGGAGTGTATTGAATGCTTTGCAGGAGTCAACATATTTAATTTTACATGCCCCGACGGAGTCAATGAAATGCCCCACCGGAGTTGTGGGGGAAAAAAATGAGCTGTACTGTTATAGCTTCTCAATACATCTTTCCAGCATACTACAACTGTTGTAAAATAGGTTCAAGTTTACTTTGGAAAAGAATTTTGGCACATAGTGGAGAAATGAGGTTGAATGCATGAAATATCTCACAACATGATATTGTTGACTTTTCTGTATACTTTGCTACCAAATCTCAACATCTGAGCCTTTCTTATACATAGTTAACATATGGCAGAATATATATCCCCTGCTCCAAAGCAGTTTTCTGATGGTTTGGGGGAGCTGGAGCTTGAAAGGGTGAAAATATGACTCTAAACATGAAACCACATTCTTTCTTATTTCCTTTCACTATCTAAATCTTGTTGAAATGCTCCCATACTTTCCCCAAATATAGCCTACATACTTTAGAATCAATTCAGATAGGTGGGGGAAGCAGTTGTGAGGGAAGAAAAATATATATAACTTGATGTATGCAAAATGGCATGTTGTGCAACTGGTTTGTATAAAGATTCATGCACCAAATAGCTCTTTCCGAGGTCTGTTCACAAAAACTTCTTCAATCACTGAGAAAACTATTCCAAATGATTCTATTCCTTTCTGGGATCCCCCCAATGTCTTTGTTTTGTTGGCGCATTGCATCGCCAATGAGCGCGGCGCAGTGCGTAGTTTCAGATGGTGTGTGAATAATGCGCTCCTTCCATATTAGGTTGCCGCTGGCCCATATTTGGTAAGGCGGGCTGCCAGAGTTGTTCTACTTCTAAAAACTAAATGGTGCACACCTCAACTATCTGACCTCCAATTCAGTGGATCTTTCTTTTGTATTATGAGGATTTGTCATGGCTACTAGCAGGACCTTTCATCGATATTGTGTGTTGATTTCTTGACAATATATTTCTTGTTTCTGCAAATCACATATTCCAAGCCATTGCATGTTTCAGTTCACATGGATGGATGATCTGGGCACCAGCTTAAAAATGCTGTAGTGGATTGACTCCTCTATCTTGAATAAATGCTTCGCCAGAGCTGACATTGAATTTTGAATGCCCTGTCGGAGTCAATCAAATGCCCTGCGGGAGTCAACATTTTGAATTCTCAATTCCCTGTCAGTGTCAATCAAATGCTCTGCCACAGTCAATAAAGTGCTCTGCTAACTTGACGTATTCAAGATCATGCCACAGATGACCATATTGTGGAGGTCATGTTTTCAATTTCAATGTCAAACACCCTGATGGGGCCATTGCCGACAGTGCCTTCAATCTCAACCTCAAACACCCCGACGGCAACATCCTCTGTGGTGCTTTCAATTTTAATGACAAACACCCCAACGGAGACATCCCCTGTGGCACCTTCAATTTCAATGTCAAACACCCTGATGGAGACATCCTCCGCGGCGCTTTCAATCTCAACCTCAAACACCCCGACGGTGACATCCCCCATGGCACCTTCAATTTCAATGTCAAACACCCTGACAGAGACATCCCCTGCGGCGCCTTCAATCTCAACCTCAAACAACCCGACGGTGACATCCTCCACGGCGCTTTCAATCTCAACCTCAAACACCCCAATGGTGACATCCCCCGCAGCACCTTCAATTTCAATGTCAAACACCCTGACGGAGACATCCCCTGCGGCACCTTCAATTTCAATGTCAAACACCCCGACGGTGACATCCCCCACGGCACCTTCAATCTCAACCTCAAACACCCCGATGGCGACATCCTCCGCAGTGCTTTCAATCTCAACCTCAAACACCCCGACAGTGACATCCCCTGCGGCACCTTCAATTTCCATGTCAAACACCCCGACGGAAACATCCCCCGTGGCGCCTTCAATCTCAATGTCAAACACCCTGACAGAGACATCCCCAACAGAACCATCAATTCCAGTTTGACACCCCAATGGAGCCACAAATGAGTAGACAAGGTGTGAGTAGCTAAATGAAAAGCTTTCATTTCTTAACTACAAGGTGAGTGTTTCCCTGTTGGGACAAAATTCAGTTTTTGGTTGATATGGAGACTATCTTGCAGGAGTTGGATGAGATAAAGATTAAGATACATTATGCTACAGATCTAGATGGATGTAAGTAAGGGGAGAGAGGCCCCAGTTAAATTTTTTTGTAGTTCCATCAGGATGGGCTGAGAGCCCGTCGGTTGAAAAAGTGGTTCCGCCGCGGGAGCGTAAACCCTGCCAGGGTCAGAAACCGGCCGCTTCGTTGCCAATGGAACAATGGCAATCAAACCGGCCGCCCCGGCTGACCCGTTCACTACGACTGATTGTCACGTCCGGCTGTTCTGTTGTTATTGGACCCATGTGACTGAACTAACTATCAAAAGAATAAGATCCGATAACTAAGATCTAAAACTTTAATCTATGTGTTCTGATCTGTTTTGATGGTATCACCATATATAGACCACTGCCTGATCATGTGTAACACGTTCTTTGAGTTTATGAAGAGACTCGCTTTGACGTGGCACTTGAATTGTTTGGACTGGCCAAGACAACAATGAGCGTGCAAAGAAAACAAACAAGATGTGGTAGATAGATACATTGCACAAATCATTTGGACTGGCCAAGACGACGAAGAGTGCAAGACAGCAAAGTGCACAGCAGACCACCTGCTTTGGATGTGGCATTATGTGTGTTGCATTTGGATTGACCAAGATGATGACAATGCTAATGTGGCATCACAGAATGCTCTGTGTTGACAGTGTTGTGTTTGGATTAACCAAGACGATGACAACACTATGGATGTGGCATCACAGAATGCTCTGTGTCATGTTTGGATTGACCAAGACGATGACAACAGAGTTTGTACTTAGCAAGCAGAAGTTGACGTTGAGTTTTCAGAAGTATCCAAAAATGATGTACTTCCCTTGCGGGCTACCTTTGATTTTGAAGGTAGCCCGCAACGGAAGTACATCATTTTTAGTGTTTGGAAGTCCGGTCTTGTGACTGGAAAAAGACCGTAACCAGACCGGACCAAGACCGCAAAAGACCGGACCTGCGGTTACGGTCTTTTATTTTTGAAATGTAAAGACCGCAAAAAAACCGGTTAACGTGAACCGGTCTTGACCGGTTTGGACCGGTCTTTTGTAGCCCCTTAAATACCCTTTAAAACGCACCCAAGAACGTACGATTTGGTAAAAAAACGAGAGAGATATGAATTAAAATGTAAATTACTTTTGGGAATAATAGATGTACCAGACTTATTTTATAGAAGCACCAATTCCTAACGGAATTTAACGTTCTTAGGCTCGTTTTGAAGCTATTAGAGATGTTAATAAATTTACCGATTCATAATTTTAAAATATTGGCCTAAAGACCGGTCATAAACCGGTTAAAACCGATGCAGACCGAAACCGGTCTATAGACCGCAAAAAACCGCGGTCTGCGGTCTTTTTGCGGTCCGGTCTGGTCTTTTGACTTCTGGGGAAAAGGCAGACCGGTTACGGTTACGGTTAAAGCCCCTGGGCATCAAAAAACCGGACCGAACCGGACTTTCAAACACTAATCATTTTCGGATATTTCCGAATTGTCACGTTTCCTGTGTCCTCTTCTGCAAAGACTGTCCCTTCTACTTTTGCCATCTGCTTGTCGTCATCTTGGCCAGTCCAAATGCTTTGAGTGTGTTATGAGTCCTCTGAGTTTACAAAGAGACTCGTTTATTACCCAGGATCTCAGGACTTTTTTCAGCGCGGTAACGCTGAAATTTGACTTTCTCCCACAAAAGTGATTTCTTCCCACGATCATCTGCTTGGTTCGCCTACATGACTTTCCTAGTCTACTTGACCATTCCTTGATTATTACTGTCTTTTAGCCCTATCCAGGTTGTCGTTGATATAGCTTGTGGCTAATATATTGCTCTATTTAGCTTCCAGACTCTGATGAATGAATGCATTGCCTCTATTTTCATGTTCATGCAACTCAACTTGTTTACATTGAAGGTAGAACAATTAAGGTCCTGACAACTTGTGCAGATGAGCCCATGCTCTGGTGAAACAGGCCACAGGAATGTACTGAGCAGTTGGTGAGCATAAGGCAAAAAAGCGAAAATACAAACCTACTTACCTCCATGGGAAGTTGACTGTTTTGTAAACGGTTTTGTGGAGCTTGTTTGTGGAATGCGTAGGTATTGAATCGAGTCCATGCTCAAGCAAAATGGACTGCAGGAAGGTACTGAGAAGTTGTGAGCATACATCAGCAAAACCTGGGTGAGCTAGGCAGCACGTGGCAGGGCTGTGTAGTGCCATAGCACCATAGAAAAGGGTATCACCTTTACAGTCACCTGCGCGTTCTATGCAGCTCTACATAGAAACGCACAGCCACTACACAGCACTCCCTAGAATCTCAGAGCAGATCTGCAGCCATTCATAGAAACACATAGCCACTTCATAGTGCTCCCTAGAATTACGGAGCAGATCTGCAGCCCTCAGTAGCAACCCCTGGGGTCTGCAGATTCCTAGAGGGGGGGCATACATTCTGCTCATTTTAATACCATATTGCATGATTTTTACACAGAACTTGTGTTACGAAAAAATAAGTTTATTGTCTGCACTACTACATTATACAAGATATCCTAATATTCTACATAGTAATGACTGCAGTATATCAAATTTATGGAATAAGAGACTGTCCATCTTTCATCAACAGAGGGAGGATGCCATTCACCAACAAGGAAGGGAGGACGGTTGTTCGTCAAGGGACAGAGCCATTCTTCAAAGGAGGGAGGACTCAAAGGAGGGAGGACGCCATTCGTCGACAAGGGAGGAGGACGCCGTTCTTCAAGGGAGGGAGCCGTTCATCAATGAGGTAGGGAGGACACCGTTCGTCGACAACAGAGGGAAGATGCATTTGTCGACAAGCGAGGGAAGACGCCATTCTTCAAGGCAGGGGGAATACCATTTATCAACGAGAGAGGGAGGACGCCGTTCATCAACGAGGGAGGGAGGACACCATTCGTCGAGGGAGAAACACTGTCAGTCAAGAAGGGACGGAGGATGCTGTTCGTCGACGAGTGAGGGAGCAGTTCGTCAAGGGAGGACACTGTTCATCGGGGGAGCCGTTTGTCGAGAGAGGGGGCCATTTGTCAAGAGGGAGCCTTTCGTCAAGGGAGGGAGCCATTTGCCGAGAGAGGGAGCCATTCGTTGAGGGAGGAGTCGTTTGTCGACGAGGGAGCCGTTTGTCGATGAGGGAGGGATCTTTTCTTTAAGGGAGGAAGCCATTCTTCACGGGAGCGAGCTGTTCTTCAAGGGAGGCAGGGAGCCATTCTTCAAGGGGGGGAGGAAGCCATTCTTCAAGAGAGGGAGGATGCCGTTCTTCAAGGGAGGGAGGACGCCGATCATGGATGAGGGAGGACACCGTTCGTCGAGGGACGCGGTTCGTCAACGAGGGAGGGAGGATGCTGTAACTCGACGAGGGAGGACACCGTTTGTCAAGGACAAGTTAAACATTGTGGTGGGAAGGAAGAACAATGAATTTCCGTGTTGGGAAATTCAAGAGTTCAACATAATCACATGATGTCGGAGTTTCAACGGACTTAAACGAATTGTCTCGCAACTTGAAGTTGTTTGTCGCCTGTCACTGTCTTTCACAGAAAGCATGGCATTCGAGGTGGGCATACACAATTGTAGATGGCACCATGTAATCAAGCAAATATAAAGTTCATATTGGAAAATTATTGAACAATTTCCGAGCCTTCCAAGAAATTTGCAGTTGTTACCAAGAAATTTCCTGCTATTTCCATGATTTCCCGAAATTTCCTGTTTTTTGGTAGTAGTAGTAACAATTGAAGTTGTCTAA